GAGCTGTCTGCCCTAACTGCCCGTCCGTACACACCAAACGCGTGTGTCAGAGGCAGCCGTCGCCACTATCGTCTGCACCAATCCTCTTTGGACGCGTGTCCTCCTGCACATGGGGTAGGCTGTCAGAGGTGGTTATCGCTATCCACCACTGCTTTCTCGACACGTGTCCCCCTGCACATGAGGTAAATATTCTCCTCGAACTCTGTCAGAGGCTTCCTTCACGCGCCTATGACTAGGCCGAACGGCGTGGTGTTAAGTCCTCGAAGTAATTGACCTGCTGAGGTCGAATAAACCGCTCGATCGTGTATCTGGTCGAAGGATAGTTTGGTCGACAGCCTTGCCTGGTCGACTAGTTAATTGCTCGATTTCCTTGGCTTCCTCATAATATGACCTCCTCGACCGGTCAACAGACCGGTTCAGCCTTGTGGGTATAATATCCCATATCATAATCTATCTATACTTATACAAAAAGTCATCTCATTTACTAGAATTAGTAGGAAAAAAAGTCAACTCATAATTAATTGCACACTATATAGAAAGTTTTTAGTTTTTTTAAATCATAAAATAGGGTAGCATTAAATGCCCCTAAAATTATGGGTTCCCGTGAATTCATTCTTAATAAAATCTGCATCCAAATTTACGTGTGGTTTTGAAGTGAAAATTTAAAATTCAAAATCTCTTCTCATTTTAGTTACAAGAAAATCGGGCTGCATTCAACACTTGGACCAATTTAAAAATTATTCCTTAAATGAAAAAATTTATAGATAATTGTTATCTCTACTCAATCACATGATTATTTTCAATATAAAAGAGGCATATTACAAATTAGTGAATCATATATTACCTAATTCAATATCTTAACATTAAAGAATAAATTCATGGTTTTATGTAAATTCGTATCTCATATTATTATATCATTAAGAATATTTATAGTTATATTATCAAATCATAAAAGATAACAAATCTATATTGTAAAAAAAAAAAAATCATATAATTTTATAACAATTCTTCTAGACTATTTAACAGTATTCCTTTTTATTATATAATAAAATAATAATTAAATATTTTATGGTGAACAAGAATAAGTAAAATTATTACTTTTTCTTTATTAAGGGATAAATTTTAATGCCAGAATTAAATTTTATTAGTATAATGTTTTGATGAGATAATTTATTAATTATTTTACAAGCTAGCCATAACACGCTCATATTTAATGTCCTGGCTAAAAAAACGCTGGTTAAAAGATGTGAAAAAAACTTATAACCCTATTGTTTTTTAGACTTAACGTTGATTAAAAGAGGTAGAAAATAGATAATAACCCTATTACTCTTTAGATTTAAACGGACAAGGCTGTGAAAATAATTCATTTCATATGTGGAAAAAAGCTTATAACCCTATTGTTTTACACTTAACATTGATTAAAAGAGGTAGAAAATAGATAATAACTCTATTACTTTTTAGACTTGAACGGACAAGGTTGTGAAAATAGCTCATTTAATATCTCTGTCACATGCATTGCACGGGGTACGTACTAGTTTCAGAATATTGGTCGTCGCAGAAAGAAATTTTAAGTATGACGATAACAAAACGGTAACAAAAAAATTAGAAGTAGTGACGAAATATTCATTGTCTACAAAAACATATAAAAAGTGACGAATTCTTTTGTCATGGAGTTATTAGCACTATGATTACGAAGAAAAAGATTATCATCAAAAGCTTAAGATATAATGATAACATAAGTTTTTTGAAAAGATAAATACATAGTGACAAAATTTATCGTCATTTTAAATTTTTGTATGGTGACAAATCCAATCAAATGCATCACAATTACATGTTGTCATAAAAAAAAATCATTTTCAATTACCATTTAAAATTTGTCAATATTATAAATATAATAATTATCATTAATTGCATATATTTAATGAGTAGTTTATTTTTCATGAAAGATATATAGTACAATGACAAAACATATCCCTACTTGAAGCAATTATGTCATGAAAAAAAAAATACAGTGACAAACTCTATCATGACTTATATCATGGCACTAAATACTCATAGCAACGTTAATCATATTAAGCTCATTCAATTGATAAAATTATAATTAATATATGATGGTAATATGTTCTAGATGATAAATTAAAAAAAAAAAACTAC